CAGTCGACCTGCATGTACAGCTACCTTTTCCTATTTCCCATACCCAGTCACCCAAACCAGAAACCTGCGGGCTTTAAATACTTTTGAGCCGTTGTTACTAACCTTCCCTACTGCTTCCCAGAATCTCTTTCCTAGACTACCACGTTAGCTTCGTCTTTTTTTTTTTTTTTTAAAGATTTTATTTATTTATTTGACAGACAGAGATCACAAGTAGGCAGAGAGGCAGGCAGAGAGAGAGGAAGGGAAGCAGGCTCCCTGCTGAGCAGAGAGCCCGATGCAGGACTCGATCCCAGGACCCTGAGATCATGACCTGAGCCGAAGGCAGCGGCTTAACCCACTGAGCCACCCAGGCGCCCCCACGTTAGCTTCTTAACTGAGTTTCCCTGCCTCTGGTGTCACACTTTCAGATCTGTCCAGTATGCTCTTCTCAGTGATTGTTAAAAAGAAAGTGGAGTGTATCTCCTTTACCTAGAATCTGTCGTGCCTTTACTGCCCACAAGTCGTCTTCTTTGGTTTGACATGCACAGCCCTACACACACAGAATCGGGGCCCATCTCTGTGTTCCTGTAGCCCTCAGGCGTTGCTCCACCTCATGTAAGAGTGATCTCTCTATATGCCTGCCAGCTCCTGGCGTGACCTGTAAGACACAGTTTGTGTCATGCTCTCTGGATGCCCTGTAGTGGCAAACATTTTGTAGGTGCTTGCTGGACTGACATAAACTGGATAAAACCTGACTTCCTGTGCTCTGCATTTCAGGATTAATGGGGTGAGTTCACTGGTGCAGAGGACCATTGCAAGGCTTCGCCTGAAGAAGATTTTCAGTGGTGTCTTTTTCAGAGTAACCCCCCAGACCATAAAAACGCTGCGTGTAGTGGAACCTTATGTGGCCTGGGGGTGAGTAAGGGGTTTGTGTGTGTGTGTGTGTGTATTCATACCTGGGGATGAGTAAGGTGTGTGTGTGTGTGTGTGTGTGTGTGTGTGTGTGTGTGTGTGTGTGTATTCATACTAAATTGTATTTGAGCATGAGGAGAACATTAGGATGCCCAGGGTGCTGTTCTCCAAGCCTAGGAGCTCATATTGCTGTTTCAAAGAAACATTCTGTTGTGACCACGGTCACCAGAAATCAGCTGCTAGCGGTGAAACTTTGGAACACGGGGCAGGTAGATCAGGAGGTACCCATGCTGCTGCTGACGCACCATGAACAGTACCGCACTGGGCGCATTCACTTGCAGGCTAAGGCTGAGTCAGGGGTAGAAGAGAAATTAACTCTTGGAGTCTTGAAGCAAGCTAAGGGCCGTGCTTGTGTAAAAGTTGTGTTCCTTCAAATGAAATGAAAACCCAGCAGAGGCCGGGATTTAATTTCAAACTCTGGCCCCATCTTGGGTAGAGGGTCATCCGAGGCCAGAGTCCTGAACTGTAAGCCAGCACTTGTTTTATTCTTGTTTGGGAAAGTAAAAATTTTTTTGCATGGTGAATGTTTATATCCATATATTTTAATTTCTAATTACATAGTCAGGGCCACTCTGGTTTTCTGCCCTCTTCACTTGTATACTTCCAAGCACCCCGGCTGCATCGTGATTGCAGGAGATATCTTGGTGGGAAGAAGGGGTGGTGGGACAATCTCTCCTCAGCCAGGCTGCAGGACTGAGTGGCCAGTGCCACACGGTGTGCCGCGGCCTGATGAGGCTGTACCTCATTCGGTCTCACATAGGTTTCCAAATCTGAAGTCTGTCCGGGAACTCATCTTGAAACGTGGACAAGCCAAGGTCAAGAATAAAACCATCCCTTTGACAAATAATACAGTGATTGAGGAGCACCTGGGTGAGTGTTGCACTTAGGGGTCAGTAGGGGTAGAAAGCAAGGATTTCTGGTGGTCTTGATGTCAGATCTAGGTCGTATTCTTATTGGGGTCCCAAGAAACCACCAGAGTGCCCATCTCGGGCATGTAAGAGCCTCATGGTTTATACTGAGCCAAATATTGAGTGAAGGAATCTCTACCCTTATGTTTCCCAGGGAAGTATGGTGTTATTTGCCTGGAAGACCTCATTCATGAAATTGCCTTTCCGGGGAAGAATTTCCAGGAGATCTCTGCATTCTTACGTCCTTTCCATCTCTCAGTGGCCCGTCACACTACCAAGAATAGAGTGGGCTTCCTGAAGGAGGTGGGCTTACCTGGCTATCGAGGTGAATGCATCAATCAGCTTATTCGACAGTTGAATTAAACCCAGGTGAGGCTGGAAACTGCCCTTGGGCTGACTTTCAATGGGCCATGCTTTGCCAGTTAAAAATCCTTTTTGCATTTACTAGTATCTGAAAGTGACTGGCATTGGGGGGAGAGAGGAGATGGGTAGCTACAAGTCTAACAGATAGAAATGTGCTTGGGGCAGTGAATTCCTGGGTAAGACATGGGGCTATGTGAATTCCAGCAGTTACAGGCTAGAAAATGCTGTATTGCTGTGGTCATTTGGCCTAGAGATGGGGAGAGAATAAAAACCAATTTCTTTTTTTTTTTTTTTTTTTTGAGATTTTATTTATTTGTCAGAGAGGGAGAGAGAGCGAGCGAGCACAGGCAGAGGCAGAGGGAGAAGCAGGCTCCCCGCCGAGCAAGGAGCCCGATGTGGGACTCGATCCCAGGACGCTAGGATCATGACCTGAGCCGAAGGCAGCTGCTTAACCAACTGAGCCACCCAGGCGTCCCTAAAAACCAATTTCAAAAAGGATGTAAAGATCTAACCCATCAATTTTGTTAAAAGTATCTTAATTTTTTGAAATTGCTTATTACTAATATGTGGTGTCACCTTTCATTAAACTTCTATTAACAAATTTGTGTTTTTCTTCCTCAGCATATCTGAAAACACAGCACATCGGTGGCGCGTGTTTTGTCTCTTAGAATTGTTACCAGTATCTTCGAAGAAGATTATTTTCTGTTATATCTTGAGAAACTAGAGGAAGGGTCAGGGAAAAAATGATGATGATCTGGCAGGCATTTGTCATCACAGCCCAGTTCCAAGGGAAAGTTCCAGTGTGTTTTCCACGTTGCCTGCCCCCACCACCTCTGACGTCAACGAAAGACTCCTGCCACGGAAGGGGAAGTTCTGCCGTGTCACATCTTCTATCCTGGGGTTTAAAGTTGGTGAACGAATACCCAGGCATGAATACAAGACAGCAGTGGACCAGCCTCAGGGACGTACTTGAACCTGGGCGTTTCTAGGGCCTTGTTTTGGAAGGAATTTGAAATATAACTACAAAGAAGAGCACAAAAACAGTGCTCAGTTGTCTCTGCTATGAGTCCCTGTTCTCACTTTTCAGTGACAGCTTTGCAAGGTCTCAGATGGCCCTGAGGTGTATCTGGTGGCTTCCTTAGCCTAGCCCGTGATTGACCTAATCCTTTTCTTTAGCTCAGATTCTTAACCTATTCTTGGGTCTGTGAGAAGGGAAAGACCCTTTTTCCAGGAAAATACATATATTCAAATTTTCGCTTGGAAGTTTCTGTGTTCATAGACTCTTCATAGGGACCCATGCATGTTACGTGAGGAAGTCCTGCACTACCTGCATTGGTCACCTGGGCCCTGACCTTGTTAGTCTCCTCTGGTCCTGTATCCTGTGGAAGACCAGGGCTTACCAAGATAGCTTTCTCCCTTGGAGCCAATTGGGTGTTTCCTATTAGCAACACAGTGGTAGATTTCTGAGCCCCCATGCCATCTACCTTAGGGAAATGCCCACCATTTATTTCTGCTGGGCTTCAGGATGAAATTTTCTTTGGCATGGATGTCATTTAGGCTTCATTGGACCCTCTCCTTGCATATTCTAGACTGCAAAAGTATTGCTGTCTATCCCACTGGTGGGATCCCACGATGCCATAGGCCAATACCGAGGCTCCCAGGGACTGAGACCTAAAAGTGGGATCTGATCGTGCTTGTGTTTATCATCTGTGTCCCCCTCCTAGGTGGGCCTTCCTCTGCTTCTGTCACTTTGTTGCCTCAATTGCCATCTGAGTAGTTGGTGAGGCTGTGCCAGGTATAGGTCAAGACTCGGAAACATGCTTAACCATTGTGTGCCCTGGTCCCTTAAGATCAGCTTTGCTGCACTTTTGGCTCATGGGGCCCTCAAACATAGCTGTGAGGTTGAGTTAGAATGAGAACAATGCCTTAAAATGTGCCAGGTTATGAGGTAATTAATTAGGTTGGTTGGTTCAAGAGTTAACCTGCCAAGAATAGATGTTAGAGCTTACACTTAAACTTTAAAGCATTGTGAAATCAAATTACTTTAAAGTGACGTATCAGAAAGCCATGGGAAAAGAGCATTTGTGAGTGTGGAAGCACAGGGTTTCTGTCACAGATCTATTTTATACTAAATACAGGAATAATGTTTCCATCTTGCCTGCAGAATCGGACTCTAGTCTAACGTGTGTGCCTCATTCAGTGCAGTTCAAAGGATTAAACAAAAGAATACTTTTTAACTTATAATTTTATGGAAATAGATGTTATAAAAATTAATGCCCTACTGTATTATGTACTGTGATATACCATTTCCTAAACAAGCTGTGGAACTGCCATTTCTGGGGAAAACGAGTCCTTTTGTATGGTACGTAGATTGCGTATGTGACTTGTTCGTGGCTGTCAGCGTATATTCCTGTCTGCACATACCATATGTATGTGGAAAACACCTCAGTTTCAGGAAGCAGTAGGGGCAGTGAGCCACGTGGCCTATTTAAAAGAGACAAACTTAAGAAGGTGGTTGTAGGAGCTTTTCTTCTGTTCTAAAATCAAGCCTGATCCAACTAGTTGCCAGAGATTTTGTTTTTGATTGGCTTTGTTTTTTTTTTTTAAGATTTTATTTATTTATTTGATAGAGATCACAAGTAGGCAGAGAGAGAGGAGGAAGCAGGCTCCCCGCTGAGCGGAGAGCCCCATGCAGTGCTCCATCCCAGGACCCTGGGATCATGACCTGAGCCGAAGCCAGAGGCTTTAACCCACTGAGCCACCCAGGTGCCCCTTTTGATCGTCTTTTTTAATGCTTTGGGATTTTACTGGTTTAATGTGTCTTTGAAGTACTTCTGGGGCCAAGTGTAATCATCAGATCTTTTGCATTGCTAGCCGCTGATCTGGAGAATGGCTGGAATCAACACCACGTGGATCCCAAATCCACTTCCACAGCCGCCAGAATAAGCTGACCTGGAAGAGAAACACTGACACTCTCCTACGTCACTAACAGAATTTGTTCCCCCTGAGCAAGACTCTGTCAGTGTGTCCTCAGTGGTAGTTTAAAGATGAAACCACATCTATGCATCTCAGTGAAGGATGAGATTTGCCAAATACAAGGTCTGAAACGGGATTTGTAAAACTTTTTTTTTTTTTTTTTTTTTTTTAATGTGGACGATGGTCCAGAAATACGGATACAAGTCAACTGTAAGGACGCTCCCAGGAGGCTAAATTCCAGCTGAGACCGGTTGGGGCAAATGCACAAAAGACGAATAACCGTGGCCGGTATCCGCGGTCCGAGGAGATGCAGGATACAGTCACGCCTTCCAGGTCTAAGAGGCGAAGGACCGCGAGCCACAGGAACCCAATCCGTGCCATCAGGAAGGCGCAGTTCCTGCCTCCGCCGAGCAGGGCCCCTTCACGCGGTTCCTCTACCCGGATCCGAGGGTGGGCGGTGCGGGGGCCTTGGCCGATTCCGCGGCCTCCCATGGCTTGGGCCTCCGCGGGAGCCGGGACGCCGTGGGTTCGCCGTGGGTCGCCGCGATGTGGCGCTTCTCCACGCCCGGGAGCTCCCGGCCCTGCTGAACCAGCTGCAGGAGCTGCGCCAGGCTCACCGAGGCGGGGGCTGCGTCCTCCGGCGCGGGGCTGGGGCCCGAACAGCTCTGACCGCCGGGCCCCTCCATGCCCCGCTACTCAGTCCGACTCGCGTGCGCTTCCGGGTGGGGTGGGTGCAACCACCGTCGGAGGAAATGGAGGGGATGCGTAGAGCATACCAAGTCGGCCCAGGAAGGGGGAGCGCTTGAGACTGCGACCGGCTCCACGCAGAGCGATTCTCTTACACACACACACACCAGCTCCACGCAGAAACCCTTCACACACACACACACACACACACACACACACCAGCTCCACGCAGAAACGCTTCCTTTACACACGCACACACCAGCTCCACGCAGAAACGCTTTACACACACGGAAAACAGCTCACACGAGAGCCTGCAAAGTGCAGTCCTTTAGAAGGAACTCGAAGGCTTGCACAGAACGGGCCGTACGTGCGGACACGCTGATTCAGGCAAAAAGACCCAATTTGACACAAGTGCATAGGAACTAAGTACAAACCTCTTTTGTTTCTTTCTTTCTCCTTCTCCTTCTTCTCCTTCTCCTCCTTCTCCTTCTCCTTCTCCTTCTGTCTTTTTAAAGATTGATTGGTTGATTGACTGATTTGTGAGAGTGAGTGAGCTAGCCAGCGAAGAGCACGAGTAGGAGGAGGGGCAGCGGGAAAGGGAGACCCAGACTGCCCGCTGAGCAGGGAGCCCCATGTGGGGCTCCATCCAGTGACTGGGTCATGACCTGAGCCGAAGCTGGAGGCAGGGGCTTAACCAACGCTCCTTATTTTCTTTTTAAAGTAATCTCTTGGGGCGCTGCTGGATGGTGCTGCCTTCGGCTCAGGTCATGATCCCAGGGTCCTAGGATCCAGCCCCCCCCCCCCCGCCCCCCGTATCAGGCCCCTTGCTCAGCGGGGTGCCTGCGTCTCCCTCTGCCTACTGCTCTCCCTGCTTGTGTTCTCTCTTTCTATCTCTCTAATAAATAGAACCTTTAAAAAAAATTTTTTTTAACAAGTCATCTCTTGGGGCTGGAATTCACGACCCCCCAAGATCAAAAGTCGCATGCTTCTCCAACTGAGCCAGTCAGACACCCTCAGTACATACCTGTCTTCACACACCTACAGGGACACACGGGGCACATGTAGAGACTCATAGCAAGCGGAACATCTCCGAGCTGGACTCCCCAGCTCCACACGAAAAACAGCTGTGGAGAGATTGCCAGTGGCCTCAGGAGAACTGGAAGTAAGCGACAGTACCACAGAGCCTTGCCACTCTCTCCCCATTTCCTGCCAAGGAGACTCTGTTCCGGGTGTTCGCAAGGGGGATGAGAAAAGATGAAGGTGAGCCAGGTGTGCTGCAGTCCCTCTGACTGCTGGCAAAGCCAGTGCCCATAATTCTCAAGTTTCAAAGTTTATTGAAAGTTGGCTTGATCTGGCACACACTACCTTCACCGTGCAATGGAAGTCTAATTACTATTAACAGAAGGAACTGGCTCCCTGCTTCTCCTGAGGTGATCCACTGAGGAGGATGCTATGGAGATAGGAACACTCTATTTCTTCAGTATTCCTGCCTGAAAGGTTCACTCTGAATCTAGTCTTTTTTTTTTTTTTTTTTTAGGTTTTATTTATTTGACAGAGAGATCACAAGTAGGCAGAGGCAGGCAGAGAGAGAGAGGGAAGCAGGCTCCCCACTGAGCAGAGAGCCCGATGCGGGGCTCGATTCCAAGACCCTGAGATCATGACCTGAGCTGAAGGCAGAGGCTTAACCCACTGAGCCACCCAGGCGCCCCTGAATCTAGTCTTGAAGAAATGAACAGACCAAGCAAAGTGAGAGACATTCTGGAAATGACTGGCCTGGATGCTTCATAAATGTCAGTGTCATAAATGTCTTGGGATGCCCACAAATTCTGATCAGATGGGTGACTGAGGACTCTCTTCTGTGGTCCCTCCATGTCCTCTCTCCACCCTTACCCACCCAGCTTCTGCACACTGACATCCATAGACACTGCAATGGGCTCCCTTAACCTCTGGCTTTGGGGTCTGGCCAGTGGGGGCCCCAGCAGAAGAAAGAAGGAGGTCAGGGTGTTTATTCCTCAGTTTCCCTCCCTCCTGAATTCCCGCCGGCTTCAGGGTCCCTCCACCAGCTCTCTGGTTTGGGGGCCCTGCCACCGCTCCCTTCCCTCACCCCTTCAGGCCTGTTACCAGTTCCAGTACCGCATTGTCACTTGGGATTTCCCTTTACCGTGCCACACCTCTATAAATAGTCCCTTTATTAAATTCTTCTCAAATTTCCCTATATGCATGTGCCCTCCGTTTCCTGCTATACTGACCAGTAATGGAATTGGCTCCAGGAACAGCCTCAGGCAGAATACTGAGACTAGACTGATCATAAATTCAGAGAGTACAGGGCAAGCCTCCTTGCTGAGGGAGCAATGCACCCAGTAATCCACTGCATAAGGAGTATGGTCATTACCCAAATTCTCCTTGGGGGTGGCAGGGGTCAAGTGGTGAGTGCTGCGTTGTTGAGGTAGGGAGATGGCAGGCGAGATGGCTCTGGTTCATATGGCTGAGGACTGGCACCAGGATGTTCTCATAAGGGGCAGTGCTAATGAAGTGTTAGCACAGGAGTGTGCTCACACAAGGGCACTGAGGGGGACGGCGTGGGTCTCCGAGAGGAGATGGGGACGTCTGGGCAGACGTGTAATGCCTCTGTTTCCCCGGACATCAGCTTCAGGACTCTTTCCACCTCCAATCTTCCCTGGCTCTTCTCAAATTAGATCCCAGAACAGCCTGGGCAGAGAAGCATGAGGCCCACGCTGAGAGCAGAATGCCCAGACAGAAGGAATTACAGACCTTGCTAAACTCCCTTGGCAGGGGCCAGAGCCGTGTGCGTGGGAATGGGTTCTAAGGGAAATAGACCCAGGAGGGTGGAATGTAAGGCTCCATTTCGCCAAACGCAACGCCATGGATGCTCATCCAGGATTTGGGATTTAATGTGTTGGCTCGAGCACCTGGGAGAGGCATCAATCGTCTATGAGGTTAGTTAATTAAAGCCTGGACTTAATGGTAGCCTACAGTTAGGAAACTTGAAATGCCAGAATCTCTCTGGCATACTGTAGAGGAAGGAATCCAAAATTTCAGGAAGGTGGGAATGCTAGATTGGATTTATTATGTGCAACCTGGTTAGCCACCCCTCAGCACATATTTTAACGGGGTCTAGAAAACCCTCCCTTCGCCAAAGCATTAAGAAATGCTTTGGTGAGGGGCACCTGGCTGGCTCTGTTGGTTAAGGGTCTGCCTTCGGCTCAGGTCATGATTCCGGGGTCCTGGGTTTGAGCCTTGAATCAGGCTCCCTGCTCAGCGGGGAGCCTTCCTCAGCCTCTCCCTCTGCCTGCTGCTCTGCCTGCTTGTGCGTGTGCTCTCTCTCCTCTCTCTCTCTGTCGACTTTGTAAATAAGGGGCGCCTGGGTGGCTCAGTGGGTTAAAGCCTCTGCCTTCTGCTCAGGTCATGGTCCCAGAGTCCTGGGATGGAGCCCCACATCGGGCTCTCTGCTCGACGGGGAGCCTGCTTCCTCTTCTCTCTGCCTATCTCCTCTGCCTGCTTGTAATCTCTGTCTGTCAAATAAATAAATAAAAATCTTTTAAAAAATAAAATAAAATAAATAAAATCTTAAAGAAAAAATAGTGAGGAGCTCCTGGCTGTCTCAGTCAGTAAAGGAGGCAACTCTTGTCCTCAGAGTCAAGAGTTTGAGCCCCACGTTGGGCGTAAAGTTTACTTTAAAAAAAAAAAGAAAGAAAGAAAATGAAGAGGAAATGCATTGGTGAGAGCCACCTGCCTCCTTGACTTGCTCTGATGGCTGTCCTCTGTCGGCTGGAGGTGCTGCTGGGGTGCTGGATGAATCCGTGGAATTATAGTCCACGATCTCAGTGGGAATAATGGTATCCTGGTAACATAAAGGCCAGGTGGTGATGTTTAACAGACAAAGGCAAGGTAGCTATAATACCTCCCACCTGGGTGGCTCAGTCGGTTAAGCGGCTGCCTTTGGCTCAGGTCATGATCCCAGAGTCCTGGGATCAAGACCCACCTTGGGCTCTCCTTTCTAGAGTAAGACTCTATGGGGAGTCCGCTTCTCCCTCTCCTGCTTCCCCCCCCCCCCGCTTGTGCTCTCTGTCTCTCACTCTCTTGAGGGCGCATCTGACTTACAGCCCAATACTGGGTCCCTGATTGGCCACAACTTTCACCGGGTTGGAGACAGATCCGACTGGGCCATCTTAGCGTGGAAGGGCTGTGCTTTACCCTCATGGGAACAGACACATATTCCAGGTATGAATTCACCTTCTCTGCCTCCAATGCTGCTGTCAGCACCACCATTCTGCCAGCATCAGGCATTCTGATGAAGAATGAATGAATACCTTACCCATCACCGTGGCATTCCACTTTACATCACCTCCAACTGGGGCACGCGTTTCACTGCCAAAAAATGTATAAATGAGCTCACTCCCGAGGAATTCACTGGTCTTCCCATGTGCCCCATGACCCAAAAGCAGCTGGCAAGATAGGATGGTGGATGGACCTGCTGAAGGTTCATCTAGAACATAACTGAGAAGCTGCACCTGCCAGAGGCAAGGGCTGTCCTACTGGTTGCAGTGTATTCTTCTCACCACAACCATGCACGGTCATATAGAGCCAAGACATAGGGGCAGTGGGAGGCGCCTCGCGATTACTCCTCAAGGCTACCAACTACTGGAAGAAATTTTTTGCTACCCATTCCGGCAATGGAATGGACTCAGGGAGCTTGGTGATCCCAGTACCCAAGGGAGAAACACTTCTACCATACAGTAATCATAGTACTGATGACTTGGAAGCTGAGATGGCCCCTGGCCATTCTGATCCAATACGCAGAGAAAGGCACCTCTGGAATGTCTTGGTTGACTAGACCAAATTACTAGAGAAAAGTAGGCTGCTCCTGCATCTGAGATGGGGCTCAGTTTGGAGCCCAGGGGATTCACCAAGGTATCTCTTCTTAGTCCTCCAACAGGAGTCCAGCTTAACAGGACACTTAAGCAACCCAACAAAGTCAAGACTATCTAAGGACTCAGACC